GAAAGAGAAAAAGCATCCACCCTCCATGAGGCAATGGTCATGCTGCAGTAACTTCTCCTTCATTTTTCTCTTCTTTGGGGATTTGGGAACACACACACACACATATTCTCACACATGTGCCAGTATGTTTTTCAAGTTGCCAGGTGTGGGATTTGAATTACCATCATTCATGTGGAATCCAGTTATTGACCACCAGGCTATGGGTCAGCCCTTTTTAGATTTAATGCAAGCCACAAACTTCTTAATTTTGCAATCTGTAGTTTTTTTAATGCTGTTTTTCAATGTATTGGAAAGTTGAAATCAATAGTGTGCCACAAATGTATGGTTATTGATAATTCCTTATAAATATATTTCCAATGGAAGAAGGAGTTCTGGGTATAGAAAATGTGTCTGGATTTACAGATAACCCAGTGGTGGTCTTTGGAATGTGTTATTCATGGTATCACATTACATGTGTCAAATTCAGGGAAATGTTAGAATGTCCTGATAGTCACTCCTTTGGCAGTTAGCATATGCCATTGTTTTTCCTCTGGGAGTATATCTGATTGCCCCATCCAGATTGGAAGCACCTATAGGGCAGAAGCTCTAAAACTTGAGCCTGTATTAGAATCACCTTGAGAACTTGTTGAAAAACAGATTGATAGGCCCCAGAGCTTCGGAGTTGGTAGATCTAGGGGTCAAACTCTCACATTTGCATTTTCTAATGAGTTCCCAGGTGATGCTGATCAAATGCTAGTTGAGGAACTGTGGTACTTGAGCCAATGCTCTAGAGAAAGGACTGGATCTTCCCTCAGTTGTCATGTACTTAGCCAGTGCTCAGGAAGTGCTCGTTAATGACGCTGATAACTAAATAAAAAATATTCCCATTATATACCTGAAGCTTCCCAAAACTGGTTTTAAATGCAACACGAATTATAACAACCATGTATTGTACAGTTTTCATTGTCACAACCATCCTGAGGGCTAGAGAGCTTTATCTCATTTTATAATTGAAGAAGTTAGGGCTACAAAAGTTGAAATGATTGATTTGCTCAAGATTTTATGTCTTATACATGTGAGAACTAGATTTCAGGCAGATCTGTCTGACAACAAAGCCCCAGGAGAGGAAATTCAAGCTCCCAGAGATCTACAGCTAGAGTACTTGAGTACACAAACAACCAGGAGAGACTCAGTGCTTGTCCTTTCAACACCATGGCAACAATAGTTAAGGAAACCCACTGTGTCTTAAGAAAGTAAACAGCTAACACATTCTATAACCACACCCCTTTCTTTCTGTAAAAACCCATGTTTGTTCACAATTTTTACTTTACATACATTTAGAATTAGAGATATTTTGTGGAAAACACCATTTTGAAGCTAATGAAAGACAGTAATGTATCAATAAACCATCAAGGGAAATGAAAGTTTAAAAAATTCAAAGGGAAATGCTGAGCTGTTCTATCTTCCACATCATATTCTGTGATTACTAAAAACAGTACTTTTCCCCCAGAGGGTAAAATCTCCACTATCCTAAATCTCTTAATGATTTCTAGCTCACAGAATGTGTTTAGTAAATATGTGTTGAATAAATGAAAGAATAAAACAATGAAATATGTTATTGGAAGCTCAAGGACTTTTCCTTCATGTTTCCTTTGCAGTCAGTGTGAACCTCTTCCCATCTACCGAAACAAACTCAAGTAGACAAATCAAAACTTTGGAAAGGAAGTAACTTTTCTAAAATTTCAGGGACAGGGAGCATGTTCTTCAGAGGGATGTCACTGATTAGCTCAAAGAGGAAACCTTGAAAAGTTCGAGAATTATTGGACTTAGTGAAACAAGAAGGCAGAAGGAAAGTAAACCTCATCTTACCAGCCCTGATCTTAAAAGATGTCGCCTTATCCTCGTATTGTTAAAATATCCAATCAGATGTTTATCGGTGAGGCTATTATATGCTGCAAGTAATCTGAAACAAAAAAATGATGCCATTATGAAGTGTCGCTTGATAACCAGGCAATTCTTGACTCTCTCATTCATAAATTGTGCATAATTATTCAGTCAGTCAGCTAGTCATTCATGTATGGGTCTAATAAACACGTATTGAGCACCTACCATTTTCTAGATCTCCTAGTAAGAACGGGGAGGGAGTACTGACTATGGTCATCCCATAGACAAGTTTGGAAATCAGACATGAACAATAAAACTGGATGTAAAAAGTCATGTAAAAATGTATGAGAACATAATAAAGGGGACTATGAGCTCTAGAAAAGGCTTCACAGTGATCCCTGAAGGGAAAATTGAGGCTCCTCTAGTAACCTCTTTGGCCTTTTATTCCATACCCTAAACTAATAATGAAACTTACCTGCTATCCTCAGCATATCTTCTCATGTCATAGAATAGAACGCAGTCCCTTAAATGTGGAGGCCCTTCCCTGACATGCCACAGCTGACAGAACACCAGTGACGCACCATGTCCATCTCTCCTCCCAGGAAACATCCTCAGTGTGCACTGGGCATGCACTCCCAGAAGACCCATCGCACAGTACAGAGTGGTCAATCACTTGGTCTCCTCTGCTAGATTTGAAGGCCAGCATGGTGCATTATTCTTGGTTTGCATACTGCTATAATTTATTGTGTACCTAAACAATAACATATATAATTCGGGGTGGGGGGGACTTATTCTTACTAGTATACATTTCAAAGTAAGTTTAAGGTCAGCATTTTTACATTAATTTCACATCTAATACAAAAAAATTTATAGATTTTCTTTGTTTTTTTATGGTTTTATGTTAAGAGTTGAGAGAATAAACTGGTTCCTTGATTACATGCTATATCTTAGGAAATGGTCAATCAAAGTTTATAAATTAAAATTGAAAACTATTTTTCCTATTTTAACCTTTTTTGCAATTATTCAATGCCTTACAGGAACGTACACATATATATGAACACATATGTAAATATGCATTCATGTGTATACATATACATGAATGTTACCATACATATATGTGCACTTATATATGTGTACATGTATACATACACACACACATAGTGAGAGAGACAGAGACAGAGAGAGGCAGGGAGAGAAAGAACAAGCAAGCCTAAACGCAGCTCTAAAATGCCGTCACCAAAAAAATACTAATGCATACCCTATTACCTGCAACAAAGAATTACAATCCATACATGTTATGAGCAGCAGTTGATCCTTAACTTATTCTGAGACCTGAGCAAGGACTCATATTATAGAACCGAATAAATGTCATTAGCGACAATTTTATTTAGCTGTTTGCACTGCCTTAATTACATGGAAATGGTATTGGTGACCTTTTCCTGGCTCTTTTCTCCTTTACAGCTCAACGCAGGAAAGTTCCATGCTATCAAATGGTAAGGAAAGTTTAATTTTATCCACAAAAGAGACTGAAAATCAGTTACAAAGCGCAGAAGCCAAGGTGCCACATGAGGGTTGCAGACGTAGGAACAACTGCGGAAACTATTATTTCATTGGGTTTATGTAAAAAGACAACTCAAGAGCTTCAGGAAGGCATATACAAAACCAGCCTGGGATAATGCTTTGAAACCATCTTTTAAATGAACTGTCTTGGTGTCCTATAGTTCATCAAAGGTTTCCTGTCTCCAAAAGGTCAACATTGTATCCCTTACCCTTTCTGAATCTCAGAATATCTTTTCAGCTCCTCATTTCAGAAAGGTGAGCAGGTGTCTCTCAGTCCTAACAATCATGATTCCACAGTTCACAGATTCTTAAGATAAATCATTAGAGTGATATCATAGATAGTCTTTTGTCTGTTTTTCAGGCTCAAGTTTTTTTTAAAAATCAATAGTGTTCAAACAGTTAGGAGTGCTAAAACCTGATTAAATGAAGTGGGGTCAAGAAGTTCAGATAACATGGACCTCAACTTCCCCATTGACTGATAAAATGCCCCCTTCATATAATTTAGGCTTTGTAGCTTTAAATATTTAGGTCCTAATGTCAAAGCTTAGCCAGCTTTGGCACCATGTAATTTAAATTCTGCTTTCTCAGGCTCCTACTGAATGTATATGTGTGCATTGCATCCCTCCAGTCTTACTGAAAGGTCAAGTAGGTCCAGTCGAGTTGAAATCTTTGCACACATCAGTTTTCTCACCTTTCCTATTTAGGAGTGAATACCCATCCCTGGTTGGAACACCATTTATAAAACAATCCCTCCCACAACTGCCTTCCTACAGTGGCCCTACCAGGTCAGCAAAATAATAACCAGCAAGGTCCACCCAAGTGCTGTTAATTCTTTTTCAGACAATGCCTGATTTTTTTTTTTAACTGAAACTTCAGATTACTAAATTGTGTGACAACCAGAAAATCTCTACTCTAGTAAATTATTTATATACAGATTTGATAAAACAGTCAATGCCTGCATTTCTACTGCCTACATGTAAATGTCACCCCTGTTCTGATCATCAAGCCTCCTTTACCAGGGAGATGGCCATATCCTGTGTGGGCCAGTGTCTCAGCCACAACCCTACAACCATGGTCTGATCCTGTCTGCTCTAGTCCTCTTCATGTGCGCTTGGTATCAGATGGTCAGAAAAGTGATGATGCATTTTTGCACAGAAAAACATAGAAAAATGCATCATGACTTTTCTGGTGACCTAATGTATAGATTTGTTCCCTTCCTTTGTGTTTATTCGATTACAACAACTTTGCTGACCAAGACACAAATAGCTTTTTTGGTTGTTTGGGACTTGGTGCTCTGCATTCACTGACACTTTCTTTTTTTTTTTTAGCCTTTTTTTTTTTTTTTAGCCTTTTTTTTTTTTTTTAGCCTTTTTTTTTTTTTTTAGCCTTTTTTTTTTTTTTTAGCCTTTTTTTTTTTTTTTAGCCTTTTTTTTTTTTTTTAGCCTTTTTTTTTTTTTTTAGCCTTTTTTTTTTTTTTTAGCCTTTTTTTTTTTTTTTAGCCTTTTTTTTTTTTTTTAGCCTTTTTTTTTTTTTTTAGCCTTTTTTTTTTTTTTTAGCCTTTTTTTTTTTTTTTAGCCTTTTTTTTTTTTTTTAGCCTTTTTTTTTTTTTTTAGCCTTTTTTTTTTTTTTTAGCCTTTTTTTTTTTTTTTAGCCTTTTTTTTTTTTTTTAGCCTTTTTTTTTTTTTTTAGCCTTTTTTTTTTTTTTTAGCCTTTTTTTTTTTTTTTAGCCTTTTTTTTTTTTTTTAGCCTTTTTTTTTTTTTTTAGCCTTTTTTTTTTTTTTTAGCCTTTTTTTTTTTTTTTAGCCTTTTTTTTTTTTTTTAGCCTTTTTTTTTTTTTTTAGCCTTTTTTTTTTTTTTTAGCCTTTTTTTTTTTTTTTAGCCTTTTTTTTTTTTTTTAGCCTTTTTTTTTTTTTTTAGCCTTTTTTTTTTTTTTTAGCCTTTTTTTTTTTTTTTAGCCTTTTTTTTTTTTTTTAGCCTTTTTTTTTTTTTTTCTCTCACTTTGTATAATCCTGGGCCAAATAAGGTTTTAAGGTTAGCTTGCCCTAAGCTTGGCCATTGTGTTGCACCTTGAATATTCCATTCCTATGTAATTCTGTACTTGTCAAAGCCGGACTTACTGGCCACACTGCCTTAGTTCTGTGATACTCCCTGCTCCCCCGCCAACAATGACTCCTTTGGTCACAGTGACCACCAGTCACATCTTTCCACCCAGCCCCACGACTCACTGGCCAGACCAGTGTACCATGTGCTTCTTTACATAATGGACAAAATTATTTACCCATCCCCGGTCGCTGGGTGGGGAAAGATCCACTTTCTGGTTCAATGCATTGGAGAAAAGAGTCCCCTAGAGACAAAGCAACCTCGTCTCTGTGCTGGTTCCTGCTTCCTCGCCTTAATGTATAACCCACAATCCTCTAGGCCTGAGGAGGAGGCTGCTGAGTCACTGGGAGCACTGCTTTCAGCTGCAGTTATTTATTTATTTATTTTTAAATTTTTTTTCATTTAACCTCCAACTTCTGCCTCCCACTGTGTAGGATATTTAAACAGGGCTCTGTGGTAATAAATGTCAGCAATTCCTACCAATCCCTTTATCGGGCCCCAAAGTGAGCCTGTCCCATAAAAACTAACTACAGTAAGGAGAAGCACTATAATAGTTATTTATGACATTTATTGAATACAGACAATTTTAGATCATTTTCTAAGGCACTAGGGACACAGAAATGGCACAGGCCTGCACTCTCAGAGCTCCTGGTGTAGTGGGGAGAGACAAATATACATTGCGTGTGTGAGATAAGGTGCATCATAAGCTAATTTATTCACAAATAGTGACTGAGTGGCTCCATGTCAGGCACTGTGTCCCAAGCTGGGGAAGTGTAATGTCTACAATCCATTGTGCAGATTATAAAGTATTTCCACACACACAGTCCCATTTGATTTCTTGTAGGCCCCTGGGATGCGAGAATATCTAACTATCATAGCTCTTCAATATTCCTAAAATGGACAAGCTCTGAAACAGGATTACTGCTTCATGTGAGTCAGTTCCAAGAAAGCCTGATTGAGGCAACATCTCTTCACAGATCACCTGAAAGAGTCATTTCTTCTGACTTGCAGCACCCTTTAACACCTATCTCTTCCCTATGTGGCCCCACACTGTTTATTCTTGGGGTGGGAAAGAGACAAGGAGATCACAATACCAGCCCCAATTCAACCCTGGCTCCATCTTTACTGGGTCCAAACTGGGAGCAAGTGACTTAACCTCCCTGTGCTTTAATTGCCCTACCTTTGACAAAACACTAGGATACAAACCAAATTCAGCCAAGGTCTTTGCCTATTTGTAACAAGGGTTGACTTTTCTCTGGTTTCAAATAACGTGCTCCTCACTTCCACTTGATAATGACCTTTACCATACATACATCTACTAACATTCTGTGATTCTTTATGTATTCTCTAAAAAGACGGGAGCTTCTTTCCAGGTTTCCCCTTTTCTTTGGGTCCTCACCATACTCACCTTTAAAAATT